AAGCAATAATATTTCAATTGAAATTTTAATTTGAGATACAAAAGTATATTACATTTTACATATTACATACTTTTAAGTTCTATTAAAAAAATTATGAAAATCAAATGTACACAATAAGTATATTTGAATAAAGATAAATTACGCAGTAATTCTGACATTAGTACCATTTTTGAATAATTTTCATCTCTATATGGTTATATTTAACACATATGGTAAATAAACAGCGTCAGATATCATTATTTGTGATGATGTTAATGAAATTTGTGTCTAGTTTTTGCATTGGATATACTAAAGTAGGCAGTGACTATAGCTTTTTTATAAAAAAATTTGTTAGTATATAATCGATAAATTATGAAAAATTATAAAAATTGAACTAAGTGTAGTGTACGAATAGCATTTTGTATGGCACGAGGTACAGACAGATTTTCATTAGAATATTGAAAAGTATTGCCAATATTTTTTTCACACACACATACTTATGATAAGAAAGAAGATCATTAATAGTGTATATGATTTAGTAACAATTACAAAGTACGCATTTTGCTTACTAATCTTTGAAAAGTATACAACTGATTGCGTACTAGTATGTCTGGATAACCTGATTTATTTACAGTATATCTTATGTAAAGTCCATACTACTGTACTTAAATAATTAAGAAGTAGTCGAAGAACATTTTTTTCTTACATTATGTCACTTGTATAAAATTTTGCTTCATATTTACTCACAATTTTTATTATCAAACAGAATTTGAAAATAGCCTGTATCAGTCAAGCTTCTCGTATTTAAAGTGTATTGAACTTTAATTGTTGAATATTCCAGAGCATAAATATTATATTTATTGTTCCTCAAACTATGATATAGGACAGTAATGATAATGACATAATTCAAATGCACTTATCGTCATGAGGATACTGCAAGTGACAAATAAATAAATGAGTAAGATCTTACATGTTGATGATTAATATAAGAAATGATACGCAGTATGTTATAATCTACTCTATTTCTTAAACCTTTGCTGTAATTCTCAAAAAATAAAATGAAACATTTCATTCTATTACAATTTATGTTTCATTTCAAGTATATTTTGTAATAACAGAAACGAAAGATTTAGCTGACAAATTACTCCAAATTAAAATTCGTTTTCGAAGCTAATCTATATAAAATTGTAACTATAAATAATGGAACCAAATCTTAGGACATTACAATCAGTCCTGTGTAATTTTCATACAATTAATAATTAAAATTAATATTCGTTTTACATAGTGTTTCCTATTGTGACTGTTAAAAATAGCTCACAAACGTTTACAGTAAGAATATTTGACAGTGCAAATAGACATGAAACATAATATTAAATGAAAGAAACATTGAATTTTTAATTACTTATATGCTTTTTAAAAGAAACTTTCTCCTAATTTGCAAATTTTTAATTCATTTGCCAAAAAATAAACTTGTTCGACACAATTTTAAAATTAATGCACTGAGTCATAAATAACACTTTGTTATTTACTAAAAAACATTATTCTAAAATACTATCATATCCACTGTAACATATCATTGCAATAGAAAAATTAATTGTAGTAATAAAACAAAATTTTCAGCATCTTAGATGTCACTTTGATCAGTTTACCTAAAATTTTGAACATCCATCTTTGGCACAGTATGTTAATTAAGCAAAAATAGATTATACCTATGAGTAGAAAATAAAATAAAAGATAGCAAAAATGTACATGCTTTTCACTACTGCCAAAATACTTCAGTACATAATCTGCCAATATATAATGAGAACTTAAAAAGCATGTATCACTTCATTATCTAAATTGTAAAAGAGCATGGTTACAAACAAGTTCTTTTTAGAACTGTTCTTAGTTACTTAAATATACTAAGTTCTGCCAAAAGAAAAGAAATGAAAGGAAGAGATGAAAAACTTCAAACGAATGTTGAAAAATTGTTTGCTGAATAAAATGAATATGTATATAACATTGTTTTTATGTCTAACATTTATATGTACATAGATACATGCATGCATAGATATACACATATGAATGTATCTATGTACGTATGTATATCATTAATGAAAGTAAGTTATGACGATATTGTTTTGATAATGAAATTCAGTTCAATTGATTCAATATTAAGATAATCATAATTAAAGCACTTGAATGTGCATATTTGTCTTTAGCACTCACACATTGTCTTTTCACTAAGAGAAATTGAATGCTTCACTTCACTCTTTATGATAACACTTTTGTACACAAAGCAGTATGTATCTATTTTTTCAAGAACAAGATATAAGAGTAACAGTTTCACAATTAACAGAAGAGCAGCAAAGGAAACAGCTCAGTCCCAACTGGCATCACTCTCACCCTCTTCTTCCTCCTCCTCCTCCTCCTCAGAAAACATGGTATCGTACATATAATCTGGATCATGTAGGAACTCTTCACGATTTCTTTTACTCATTCCCAATCTACGCTTCTTCGTTGTTAAGGCAAGTTCATCTTCTGCTGTTCTCTCCTTACGGAACTCATAGACTAGTGGATAAATATATTCAATTGCTGCTTGGACAGCAGCAACATTGGGAGCTGCAATAGTTATTTATATATTTAATAAACAAAATGTTTTATTAATAAACAAGTGCATATTCAATGCAATAAACAAGATTTTTTATTTTTAAGACTGAAGAAGCTTTAAACTTAATAGTATTACAAACCTGTTACTGTGACGCTTCCAGTAGAAAATATTTTCAATGTAGCTTTTGGTTCTTTTAATTTATATGTAACACCAGGATGTAATTCTGGTTCATAACTAAATGACATGAACAGTGTATCAGTAGCATAATATAAGAAAATATAAAATAAAATCATCTCTAACATTGATGTTAATGTTAATATTGATACAATATTTATTATGCAAACACATACTACATATGTATGTTCTACTTTCCATACTTACTCTGCATTTTCTTTGTGACATGATGAAAATGATGTTATCTTGATTGCAAATGGCATACAACATGTACCCAGAACATTAACCACTCTATAATTGTTAAATCGTACTTTAAATCCAAGTTTTTGAAGTGAGCGGGCAAAGCGGCGTGCTGCAACTTTTGCTTGAACTTCACTAGTTGCACCAGTGCATGTTACTTTACCAGAAGACCATATAGAAGCAGTAGTATAAGGTCTCCTTAATTTCATAGTTATCATCTATAACATGTATAAATATATTAAGAACACTGTTTATAAATACTATATAATGTTTATTAAAAATAAACTTTCTTAATTCAAAATTTCTATGTTTCTATACAACAAAAAGTTTAAAATGCATAAGCATGTATTAACTTCAAAATTGAATTAGAAGTGTTAACAACCTAAAAATAAACTACAATATTTTCAATTTTTCAATGCCTTAGTTTTGTGTGTAATAATATTTATCTATATTTTCAAGTACAAATTAATATCATATTTAAGTTACAATTGTTATAACATAACAAATCCATAAATTTTAATCATTATGATGTACCAAAGTACCTCAAATGATCTAGGAATAGGATAGAATCAAGAATTGTACCCTTTTATTAAACAATCAATTATAATACTCCATCACTATTCAAAAAAATTTAGAAAATAAAAGTAT